GGAATATGGAGCTAATAAACTGAAAAGCTTGGGATTCTCAGTAAAAAATATATATATATAATTTTTTTTTTTCAAATGTTCGTAGAGTTATAGGAAGCAATAAAAAAAACCTGGAAAGAGAAAATGGATTTGAAGCTATTTTACGATATTGATCCTTTGCCGTTAGAGAACTACAATGCTCTTCCGGGATTCATTTTCGGTAGACATAATATATATACAACGTGCAATAATTAATGACATTGTTGTTGGCAATACTCAGGAAACAGGAAAAGGTTTCAGTCAAAATATTACAGGGAAGCGAAAAGAAAGAATGTAATGGTTACCAACAAAAGAGGCGACCCAATGAATGAACTACATACTGGGGACGTCCAAATTGAGCAGGTCAAGAAATTAAACCTCTTTGAAAGAATGGACCGTGTGCGATGGATAAATTGTCGTCTAATGGACGCAAATATGAAAATAACACTGACATCGCATTTGAACAGGTATCTTTACCAAAATTATACAAAAATATCTTGAAATACCTGCATCTTTTTCTATTCAATTTAAATCAATGTTGCCAAAACCCTTGCCTTCAGTCCATCTTTTGTGTTACACAATTTTTGTTGGTCTTTTCTGGACGGTCTCCATGTTTAATTTGTTGAATGTCTGCCAAAAAGGGGTTTGGCAGAAAATTCAATAAAATTGTCACTGTCTTTTGGTGTTACAAAGAGTTTTGTTGGTCTCTGTTTAAAATAGAAATACACCCCAGTTTATCTTTGGTTTTAATCAATGGTATTGATGTCTGATAATCAAGGAAAATGCAGTCTGGGAGTTCATTGGCCAGATGTAAGGTGGTGATGAAAAATTCAATAAAATTGCCACTGTCTTCAACCACGGCCTTCAGACGACTTCGGAATCTCCTGCAACTTTTCTGGACGGTCTCCTTGTTTAAAATAGTAAATGCTGTCATAATCCTTGCCTTCAGTTTATCTTTGGTGTTTCGAAGAGTTTTAACTGCACCCCAAACATGATAATCAAGGAAAATGCAGTCTGGGGAGTTCATTGGCCAGATGTAAGGGGTGATGAATTACCACCAATTTAGAATTACCTCCAATTCTTCTGCCAAAAATCCTTATCTTCAGTTCATCTTTAGTGTTACAAGGAATTTTGTTGGTATCTTGCTCATCGGATTCCACACATAATAATCAAGGAGGTTGCAGTCTGGGGAGATAGCTAGGTAGATGTAAGGGCTGGCATGGGAGCAGAAATTGCCTGACAGCTATGCCTGGGTTCTCCTGCTCGTGTAACATGGTTCAGAGTCCTGTTCCCAGACATAGAGTCTTCCAGCAGCCACCCTCTTGACCCAGGGCAGCACTACATCGTCAGGGCACTTGATGAAGGCCTCCGGGTTCAGTCTGAGACCCTGTACGAAGATGAATGGCGGCATAACGTAGCCGTAACTAGTGATCACTCTAAAAACCGCGATGTTGACAGTATATAGCATCCAACTATTTACGAATCTTCTTCACCGTCCTCAGATTGACACCCAAACACCCATGCCGCGCAGTACCACATGCTTTTGCCAAAATTGTGGTGGAGTGAATTGTGTCAGAGTGCTCTCTTTCTCAAAGATGCTGACCTAATGACATTACGATATTGTGCAGTCAACAAGATCAAAAAGAAGCAATGCTCATGCTAGAAATTAAATATATAAAATGGCCACAATTTACACAACTCAATCTGAATAACAAATTACAGTAATGATACAAAGGTGCAATTGAATAACGGAAGTAGTCTACCGGAAGTTAAGATGATGTCACAGATAAAGAAGAAGTTGCTGGCTCGCAGTAATATACCACAATAAATGCTGAAATATTACAGAGATTGGAAGCGACAAAGTTCCGGATCTACTGACTGATGCTGAGGATCTGTATGAGGTATTATGTAAACTATTTACATTATTCGGACTATTATCCTCATCTTTCACGCCATATTTATTACAACATTTCAGCCCTTCAGTATCTGTCTATATTTCTGAGGTGAGGTATTATGTAAACTATTTACATTATTCGGACTATTAATCCTCATCTTTCACGCCATATTTATTACAACATTTCAGCCCTTCAGTATCTGTCCATATTTCTGAGATGAGGTATTATGTAAACTATTTACATTATTCGGACTATTATCCTCATCTTTCACGCCATATTTATTACAACGTTTCGGCCCTTCAGTATCTGTCTATATTTCTGAGGTGAGGTATTATGTAAACTATTTACATTATTCGGACTATTATCCTCATCTTTCACGCCATATTTATTACAACACTTCAGCCCTTCAGTATCTGTCTATATTTCTGAGGTTTATTATGTAAACTATTTACATTATTCGAACTGTTATCCTTCTTTCACGCCATATTTATTCAACATTTTCCCTTCAGTATCTGACTATATTTCTGAGGAGGTATTATGTAAACTATTTACATTATTCGGACTATTAATCCTATCCTTTCACGCCATATTTATTTCATTTCAGCCATATTTATTTCTGAGATGAAACATTATTATTTACATTATTCGGACTATTATCCTCATCTTTCACGCCATATTTATTACAACGTTTCGGCCCTTCAGTATCTGTCTATATTTCTGAGGTGAGGTATTATGTAAACTATTTACATTATTCGGACTGTTATCCTCATCTTTCACGCCATATTTATTACAACACTTCAGCCCTTCAGTATCTGTCTATATTTCTGAGGTGAGGTATTATGTAAACTATTTACATTATTCGAACTGTTATCTTCATCTTTCACGCCATATTTATTACAACATTTCAGCCCTTCAGTATCTGTCTATATTTCTGAGGTGAGGTATTATGTACACTATTTACATTATTCGGACTATTGTCTTCATCTTCGTCGCCATATTTATTACAACATTTCAGCCCTTCAGTATCTGTCTATATTTCTGAGATGAAGTATTATGTACACTATTTACATTATTCGGACTATTGTCTTCATCTTCGTCGCCATATTTATTACAACGTTTCGGCCCTTCAGTAGCTGTCTATATTTCTGAGATGAAGTATTATGTACACTATTTACATTATTCGGACTATTGTCTTCATCTTTGTCGCCATATTTATTACAACATTTCGGCCTTTCAGTAATTGTCTATATTTCTGAGATGAGGTATTATGTACACTATTTACATTATTCGGACTATTGTCTTCATCTTTGTCGCCATATTTATTACAACATTTCGGCCTTTCAGTAATTGTCTATATTTCTGAGATGAAGTATTATGTACACTATTTACATTATTCGGACTATTGACCTCTTTGTCGACATATTTATTTCGCTCCGACCTTCTTCAGGTGATTGGAATGTCGAAATGAACCCTTTATTTCGCTTACTGGGATAGACTGTTCTAGTTCCACGTGCCATGATTAATGGATGCCAGATATCAGTTAACTCCTGTTAATTCCCCTCTCCAAGTTCTCCACTGCGTTAACCGGGTAATGATCTCTTTGGGTATTGTCATTGGATCCAACCAACGCCTTTATGCACTGAGACATGTGTCCTTGACGATATCTGGGTATGAATTTCTGGGTATTATAAACCTAATGTCTTCAGCAACCATTTTATCAGTGCTCATATTGCAATTTTTGCTGTTATCCAGTCAAGTTTTTACCAGAGCTCATATTGCTATTTTTGTTATCGTTTTATACTAGACCAGAAAAATCTCCTGAGCCGACCAAGCATAGAAATGAATAGAATATTCGAGCTAGTAATAAAGAATGCCAGAGCAAAACGATAACAACAACAATTGCAATATGAGCTCTGGTAAATAGTATATATATATATATATATATATATATATATATATATATATATGTGTGTGTGTGTGTGTGTGTGTGTGTGTGTAGGGAACTATACAAAGTGTTAGTCGTAATTACAAACATGTTAGAACGCTGAAATTTTTAATCTACTTTATTTTCTTCAGAGGACATGATCTGAAAAATATAATTAAAAAAATTTAAATTCCAGCGTTCCGACATCTGCCTTTCCTGTTTGTTCACAATTATAATTGCTGTTTGTGACTTTATATCTTCTGATCTGCCTCCTTATCGATTTGCTTTTACTTTCACGATTCCTGTTCTTTGGTCCAATTGAAGAATCCTTAAGGCCTCTTTCCACATTATAAGTCTCTGAAATTTAAATTGTCTCTTTTTGGTTCTAAGTGCAAGTGTTTTTGCGGGTGCAATTTGGTAGACGGGGAGCAGTCGGTGGTTGTACTAGCACCAATTCACAAGTCATCGTGACCGAGGGTTTGTTTGGAATGTTGACCACGCTCATTAGCTTTCACTCTTAGTAACCTTTTGCGTCCACGCGGCAGTATTGAATTGCTTGGGATGAAATGATAAAAAAAAAACCCGGTTCCCTCACCCTTCATGCTACGTTCCAGAAAGACGCCAAGAAAGACATCAGGCCGAAAATGGAGTACTGCTTCTTTATACGGCGAGAATTTAAAAATGTCTGCGCGTCCTTGTGGATCTTGAAATATTTTCCGCCCTACAAACGCTTTCTCGCAGTCAAAACTTCGCCGTTTCCATGTTCAGCAGGCAAACTGCAGTCCTTAGTTCCACCAACTATGACCCTCACAGCTAAGAACTGCCAAGACGCGTAAACGGAGGCGAATCACTCTCATTCCCGAAATTCCAATGAACCGACACTCGATAGAATATTTTGTAACGACACTCATCTTTTTCCTTCAAGATTCCTGTTCTTTGGTCCAGTGAGAATAATCATTAATTATATGTCTCTGGAATTTAAATTGTCTCTTTTTGGTTCTAAGTGCTGATGAAAAGTGGAAGTTTAGAAATCACCACAGCCATAAAAGCACTATGCCAAAATATTTGGGAACAAAAATAAGGCCTAAAGAGTGGACTCACTCATTAGTAATAACCCTGGCAAAGAAAGGAAGCCGCAGGCCGTGTCGAAATTATAGGACAATAAGCATGATCAGTCATCCGAGTAAAGTTCTACTCCGTTATATTTTAAATCGTTCGAAATCCAAGACTGAAGAACTGCTATCAGAGGAAAAAGCAGGTTTTAGAACCGGGCGATGTACAATGGAACAGGTCTTCAATTGTAAAATCCTTGTAGAGAAACACTTTCAACATCATAAAAACTTGTTCGGCAATTTTGTTGATTTAAAAAAAAAACAACAAAAAAAAACTTTTTATCCTATATGGCATTTTGGATCTTTGGGAAATCCTTATGGAATTCATTGTAGATACCAGAATTATCCAAGTTATCCAGACCCTACCATTATGCCATCAACTCAGTTCCTCTGCGAAGACGGATTGGAAGGCCATTTTTTCCGGACAATTGTCAGCGTGAGACAGGGATGCGTACTTTCATCCACATTGTTCAACCTATTTGCAGAGAGAATCCTGCAAGAAACCCTGAACAACCAAGTTCTTTCAATCTCTATCGGTGGTAGACTCATGTGCAACCTACGTCTTGTGGACGACATTGAGCTCCAGAACTTGACCAACAAACATTTTGAAAGAGAAAGAGAATATGGAATGGATGTCAACTCTGAGAAATCCAAAACAATGGTCAATAGCACAAACAGGAACATCTGTGACAAGATAACCATGAATGAAAATTCCTTGGAGGAAATGTCAAGTTTTAAATACTTAGGAGCAATCTTGTCTAAAGACAGATTGCCGCAGCTATGTCAGCGATGGCCACATTGACAAGAAGATAGAGGAGTAAAATCAGCTTTCAAACGAAGTATAGAGATTACAAATCACTGGTGGTCTCCGTTCTCCTGTATGGATGTGAAACGTAGACAATGTTGGCAGAAACAGAGAGAAGGATCCAAGCGTTTGACAACAAATAATTGAGAAAGATCCTTGGTATCTTCTATTGGGAAGAAAAAAAATCAATGAGTGTGTGCGAAAAAGGGTTGAAAGTTTTGTAGGCCACCAATAACCTTTTCTCAACATTGTCAAACGGAGAAAAATGGCGTGGTTTGGAAAAATTAGAAGGCACGACAGCGTGTGCATGACCATCATACAAGGCACCGTTGAAGATGGACGTAGGAGAGGGCGCCAAACGGAAAAACTGGTTGGACAATTTCAAACAATGGACAGTTATGACTTTACCAGAATTATTGATGGCTGCTGTTGATAGACCGTTGTGGAAAAGATCCGCCCCCTGATTACAAAAGCCAAGAGCATGATTATTATTATTATTATTATGATGATGATATGATATCTATCTATCTATCTATCTATCTATCTATCTATCTAACATTACAAGGCATGACAGCCTGTGCAAGACCATCATGCAAAGCACCGTTGAAGGTGGACGTAGGAGAGAACGCCCACGCAAAAACTGGTGGCACAATGTCAAACCATAGACAGGTATGACTTTACCAGAATTGCTGATGGCTGCCGTTGATAGACCGTTGTAGAAAAGATTTTACAAGGCAAGACAGCGTGTGCAAAACCATCATACAAGGCACCGTTGAAGGAGAGGACAACAACGCAAAAACTGGTTGGACAATGTCAAACATTGGACAGGTATGACCGTACGAGAATTACTGATGGCTGCCGTTGATAGATCGTTGTGGAAAAGTGTTAGTGTGGCTTCTGTATTCGGATCCCCCGTTAAGATTACAAAAGTCAAGGGGATAATGGCAATAATGATGATGATGATGATGATATCTATCTATCTATCTATCTATCTATCTATCTATCTATCTATCTATCTATCATTACAATGTACGACGGCCTGTGCAAGAAAGTCAAGCAAGGCACCGTTGAAGGTTGCCGTAGGAAAGGACGCCCACGCAAAAACTTGTTGGACAATGGGTTAAGGTTAGAAATGGAAATAAGAAAAGTGAGTGACATAATGCGATAATGGGGTCTTTTATTTTGTCGAAAATATTATTGAAGTATTAATTATTATTCCAATATAAACCCAATCAAACAGGAGAACAAAATGAATGCAATTCACAATGGACAGGTATGACTCTACGAGAATTGCTGATGGCTGCTGTTGATAGACCGTTGTGGAAAAGAGTTAGTGTGGCTTCTGTATTCGGATCCGCCTTACAATTACAGATGTCAAGGGGATGATGATGATAATGATGATGATGATATCTATCTATCTATCTATCTATCTATCTATCATTACAAGACACGACAGACTGTGCAAGACCGTTGAAGGTTCCCTTAGTAGAGGACGCCAACGTAAAAACTGATTGACAAAGTCAAACAATGGACAGGTATGACTCTACCAGAATTGCTGATGGCTGCCGTTGATAGACCGTTGTGGAAAAGAGTTAGTGTAGTTTCTGTATTCGGGTCCGCCTTACAATTACAAAAGTCAAGTGGATGATGATAATGATGATGATATCTATCTATCTATCTATCTATCTATCTATCTATCTATCTATCTATCTATCTATTATCTATATTCAATCATAATCTATCGATCAATCTATCTCCAATTATTAATATATATCTATATTCAATCATTAATCTATCTCCATCTATCTATCTATATTGAATCATATCTATCTATCTATCTATCTATCTATCTATCTATCTATCTATCATTATGCAAGGTGCCGTTGAAGGTTGTCGTAGGAAGGTACGTCAACAAAAAAACTAGTCGGACAATGTCAAACAACAGATAGGTATGACTGTAGCAGAATTGTTGATGGCTGCCGTTGATAAACCGTTGTGGTGGAGATTCAATATGGCTTCTGTATTCGGATCCCCAGGACGATTACAAAACTAAAGTGGGTGATGATAATGATGATGATTGGTCCTGTAGTTTTTTTATTTAGTGTCGACAACCAACAATGTGTCGTCCATCTAACATTGTGGTCGCCAATGGCGAATAGGACTTAACTGTAAAGATTTAATAAGTTCGATGCGATGAAACATTCTTGTCTTCCACCGTTTCTACTTTTCTGTATTCACTGAATTCATTTTCTATCCGTCTGTAGTCGGTTCCCTTTCATTATAAGTTATTTTCCGGAGCCAGAAAACATTTAAACGGAGTGGAAATTAGAAAAGCGAGTGACATATTGCGATAATGTGGTCTTTTATTTTGTCGAAAATATTACCGAAGTATTAATTTTTATTCCAATATAAACCCAATCAAACATGAGAACAAAATGAATGCAATTCACCTCCAGAGGGAAGATAAGAACGAAAAAGAGGTGGAGGAATACGAAGAAGTGGAGTGGGAGGCTAAAAAATAAAGGAAGAAAGATATGAAGAAAGAAAGAGAGACAAGAGCAATGACATGACGAAGAAAGAAAGGTAGTAAATAAAGAGGGCAATACTAATAGAAAGAAAGAAAGAAAGAAAGAAAGAAAGAAAGAAAGAAAGAAAGAAAAGGGCAATGATGTGCTGAAGATTGAAAGGGTGGGAAGAAAGTTTTAAAAAAAGAAACAAAGAAAGAAAGAAAAGGACAAAAAGAAAGAAAGAAAGAAAGAAGGAAAGAATGAAAGACAAAAAGAAAGAAAGAAAGAATGGGAGAAAGAAAGTACATGACAAAGACCTGTTGAAGAAAAATCTGGAAATAAAGAAGGTGAAAAATGAAAGAAAGATGTAAAGACAAAGAGATAGAAAGAAAGAAAAAAAGGAAAGAATTAAGGCAAGTAAGTAAAAGACAATGACCTGTTGAGGAAAGAAAAACTGGAAAGAAAGAAGGTGAAAGAAAGAAAGAAGAAAAGAAAGACAGAGAGAAGGAAAGAAGTAAAGAAAGAAAGTAAAGTACAATGACCTGTTGAAAAAATAACTTCAAAGAAAGAAATGCTCGAAAGAAAGATGGTGGAAAAAGAAAGAAAGAAAGAAAGAAAGAAAGAAAAAAGGAAAGAAAGTCAAGGACATTGACCTGCCGAAGATAAAATTGCTGGAAAGAAAGAAAGAAAGAAAGAAAGAAAGAAAGAAAGAAAAAGAAATAACTTGTTGAAGAAAGAAAAGCTGGAATGACAGAAGGCGAATAAATAGAAAGAAAAAATGAACGAAGGAAAACTGTGACGGAAAGAAAGAAAGAAAGAAAGAAAGAAAGAAAGAATGAAAGAAAGAAAGAAAGAAAGGAAGAAAAAAAGAAAGAAATAAAGAAAGGAAGGAAAGAAGAAAGAAAGACAGAAAGAAAGAAAGAAAAGAAGATAGAAAGAAATTCAAAACAAAGATACTGAATTGTTGAATTTTAAAAGATAAGGCGTAAAAGATAAGTACGAAGAAGATGTCGAGGATAATGAACAAGTCGGGTTGACAGTTTAAATATTCCCCTGTTAAGTTTGGCTAGCACACACACACACACACACACACACATATATATATATATATATATATATATATATATATATATATATATATATATATATATATATATATATATATATATGTGTGTGTGTGTGTGTGTGTGTGTGTGTGTGTGTGTGTATTTTAGATGAGATCGATAGTAAACATTGAATCAAGCAGAGTAAGGTAAACTGAAACCAAAAGGTTATCTAAGAAAGCAAAGAATTTGATCTGGCTCAAAGAAAATGATGAAAGTTATCAAAAGAACAGAATGAAATTAACCCGACAGCAAGTTCCGAGCTTGATTTTTTTTGCAGATAACGCAACAATTTTTTCCAGTCTTAGATGCAAGCCCGACAGGTTCGCCAAAGTAAAACTGGCAACTACTTTTGAAAAGGAATTCCTAACAGGGCTTAACTGGTGCAAGGAACGGATTGTGAATTTTTAATGACTCCAAAGCAAAAGAGTTTTTATTTAATCACCACACAGAGACTTTCTATTTGCCATCAGCAAAGCTAGTGCTAAACTCTAGGAAAGCAAATCTCTACACATTCTTGGACTCATTTCTGCTAATGACAAAGTTTGGTAACTATGATGTATGCTTATGGAGACCAAATAATTATTAAAATGTTGCGAATATGTCCATTTAAAAGTTAGTTGACCTGAAACAATGCGAAGAATCCGGTTACGCGATAAAAATGTGATAGTAAGGCTGAGTGTAGGATTTCTTCTTCTTCTTCTTCTTCTTCTTCTTCTTCTTCTTCTTCTTCTTCTTCTTCTTCCCACCCACAACTACAAATAAAAAAACAAAACCGTAAATTTTTAGAGTAAAACACCAAACCTTACTCAGGAAATAACAAAAAGGATTAAATTTAAGATCGTTAAATTATTTCCTTACTGAAGCTGCTATCCACTGAAAAAGAAAGAAAAGAAACCAGTCCACCCAACCCCGCCGTGAACCATTTAAAAATTAGTTTACACAGTGGAGTGCTTGTTACAAGGACCTTGAAATAGAAATCTCGGCAATGTATCTTTGAAGAAATTCAAAAAGCTGTCAAAATACAAAGGGACCTTGAAAAAGAAATCTCAAAAATGTGGCACATTGGAACATCAACAATCCCTGTTGTAGTTGGAGCCCTAGGGCTGGTTGGAAAAGATTGCAGTAGACTAATTGAAGGGATTCCTGGAAGTCCATGCCTCAAGGAGATACAAAAAATTGTTCTGACAAGTACAGCCCACACTTTACGAAGGGCTTTAATCTATTTTTTTTTTTTAATCCTTGATACAAAACTTTGAGGACCCGGGAAGAAATGTGTAAACGCCAGGAATCAAAGAAAATAATAATAATAATAATAATAATAGTAGTAGCAGTAGTAGCCATCAGTGGCTACGTAGTGCATGGTTAAAATCTGAAACTGAATGTTTTCTCCTTACTGCACAGGACTATTTCCAGCTAACTAGAAATTACCAAATTACATATTATTAACACCTATTGAATAAAAACACGGCACGACCGTGTGGGCCAATATCTGCAGTGGATAATGTGCAGCACTTAGGGAGGAAAGAAAATGAAAGAAATTTGTATGAACACAACGCAGACCTGGTTACAGAGATAGGACCTGTAACAATTTGATGGAACTTTACAAGAGACACAGACAAAACAAATGTAATCGCCCCGACATGTTGACAAAATGTGCCTCCTTATTGACTGCAATGTATCGTTGAAGATCTTCAAAAAACTATACAACGACCTTGAAACCGAAATCTCAAAAATGTGGCCTATGAGGACTAACAATTCTATTTGGAGTTAGAGCCCTCGGATTGATTGGAAAAAATTCCAATAAACATATTGAAGGTATTCCTTCTAGCGCATACCTTAAAGAAATTGTTTAGGCTGGCAGGTGACATTATCGAAGCAGAGGGTGACGGAGGGCCGCAATGATTTTATTCATTAGGGAACATGAAGTTTTATTCCTGAAAAAGTGTAATTTTAAGCACAAAAATCAATAAATAAAACTTAACCAATTGAGATAATTTTATTAAATTTTGAGTAAATTTTACATCACATTTAATTATTTAATGGATCAAGTGTATCCTATCACAGCTTTTAAAAAATTCTTTTTGAATCAGAAATGGGGTTGTTTGTTTGGATCCACAATATTGCCTGCAAATTTATGTCTGTTAAAGAGCATCTATATTGTTGTTAAAGAAAAACTTTGTTCACAAATGTATGTTGATCCAAATATACAGAATATTTTCCCAGCAAATCTCATCCTACATGGAAATTTATCAGCAAACAATCTCTATCTATAAGAGGCAGGATGTGTGTGTGTGTGTGTAACGCATGCACGGCCGCAATCTTCGACGGATTTGCACCAAAATTTACATGCACATGCTCCAAGTTAGCGGGAAGGCCAAGACCGACGTTGCATTTCCCAACTCCCATCGATTGTGGAAATAATCGAGTTTTCATGCTTCTACGGCAGTTTTCATGTAGTTTGCGGCCATTTCGTACTGGCCAGAGTATCCAGTCAATAGGACATCTGACTGACACGAATGTTAACCAGCATGCTAGCATGGGAAAAAATGATAGCTGCATTCGTCACAAATGGGAAAAAATTTAAATCTGTATGGGACTTTACGGTTTGGCTCATTCGCTTGCTTAAACTCAACGTTGATTCTGATTCCGCAGAACTGGGTTGGATGTGAAAAAGATTTGTTGTTAACATTCTTTTTCATTCGGTTTTTCCAGTTACGAGTCCTTTTTTTTAAGCTGATCGTTTTGTGTTCATTTTGTTTAGTTCTTTTTTCGTAACAGATTTAATGTTTAGTATAGAGCTTCGAAAAATTCGCAGTGTGAGATAGGCAAGAAGTAAGGCATGTAGCAACATCAGCACGGCAAAGACACACCTTTAAAAAGGCAAGGAAGGGCAAAAATATATTAAGTCAAGTGATAGCGATTGCTGTATGAGTCGTAATATTTTTGAATAATGCATGGGCACCGCCGGGCCATGCTGCTAGTGATTTATAAAACTCGATTAGTCTCCCAGCATTATACATTTCTTTCAGTGTGTGATAGGTTGTATGTCTATTAACTCAAGCTGCACTTCATCAGGTGCTGTATCAACATCTGTAGTGAATAGATAAGACAATAAATTGAATTCAGGATCCATTTTCTTGAGGACCTGAAATCTTCTTGTGATTTCACCCTCCAAACTCTGCAAATAACCCCTGTTCTTAAAAGAAACACTTTCAGACACTTTCTTTTTTCCTAATATCGAGAAATGGCAGCAGTTCTTCTAACCTGCTTGCCTTACAAATAAGCCTACTTTTGTGTTGAAAGAATTTACATTTTTCCATACGCAAAGAAACCCTTTCCCTGCAATGTCACATTCAATTCATTCAGCTTGTCAAATATGTCTGCCGTAAATGTCAGCTTATATGTCCTCAAACGACATTCATGTCTAGAAATAATAGAATTTTATTCTGTAATGCACAGATTCTTTTTATCACTTTACCCAAGCTCAGCCACCTCACAATGTTGTCAGAAATCACGAATTCATATTCTGATTCCACGTCGTCAAGCAAAGATTTGAACTGGCGTTGGTTGAGTGTCCTTGCTCGTATTGTGTTCACCACATTTACAACTGGATGGAAAGTCAATAGATCACTGCTCAAGTCTTGTGATTCTGATTTGTTTTTTTTTAAGTTTAATCATTACTCTATTTTTTTGAGTAAAAAAGTGATATATGTCATTCTACATCCACAATTGAGTACATGGTAGATGATACTCAGCTTTTGTGAACATACATGTTTGTGTGCTCATGACTACTGCTTTACAAAGGCGTTCCTTGTGTAAAATTCTATGGAAACTCAATACGTCACTGCTTAAATCTTGACTTCTAATTTAATTTTTTTTTAAAGTTTAATCATTCTTAATTTTTTCCAGTAAAAGCTCCGGCATCATTTGTGATTATGCTTGCCATTTTATTCCATGGCAAACCACGTTTCTCAACAAAATCCGCAGCACATTCAAACAGGTTCTGGCCAGTGGTTTTATTTTTCATGGATTCCAGACCAAGTATTTTCTTTGTAATTACGAAATTTGTATCAGTTGCACGGATAAAGATAAGCAATTTTTCAGTGTCTTCATTTTCCGTGATCTCATCGAGAGCCAATGAAAACCAAAGATTTTGCTTGAAGTTTTCAGTTTTTCTTTGAGTTCTTTACTTATTAAGTCAATGCGCCGTATTGATATCCTTCAGGACCCACTACACGTACACAATCCACCATACACTGCTTCACAAACTCGCCAACTGAAAATGGCTTGTGTTTGGCAAGGTTGTAATCTACAATGAAAACTGGCCTCTTTAGCACCATCATGAAGACCATCTTTGCTTGAAGAATATCTATTGTTGTTTTTAAGCTTCGAAACATAGTCTACAGCTTTTTTCTTAAGTTCCTCAGAAAAATTGTTGCGAAATTCTTCATGTTTAGTTTGGTGGTGCCGTTTTAGATTATACGGCAACTGTTTCAAAGAAAGAAAGCCTGAGGGAGGGTCGAAATTACTGGACAATAAGCCTGTTCAGTCATCCTAGTAAAGTCCTGTTCCTAATCATTTTAAACCATTTGAAATCCAAGACTGAAGAATTGCTATCAGAGGAACAAGCAGGTTTTAGAACCGAACGATGTACAATGGAACAGGTCTTCAGTTGTAGAATCCTCATAGAGAAACACCTTCAATATCGTAAGTACGTGTTCCACAATATTGTTGATTAAAAAAAAAACAAACAAACAAACAAAAAACATTTGAGCGTATATGGCATGATGATCTTTGGCAAATCCTTAGGTAATTCATTTTTGATATCAGATTTATCCAAGTTATCCAGGCCCTATATAATGATGCCATCTTCTAGGAAGACGGAGGGTAGATGATTTTTCTGGACAACTGTCGGTGTGAGACAGGGATGCATACTTTCACCCACATTGTTCAACCTATTTCTAGAGAGAATCATGCAAGAAACTCTGAAAGACCAGGATCCTTCAATCTCTATCAGTGGTGAACTCGTCTGTAATCTTCATTTTGGGGATGACATTGAGCTCCAGAACTTGACCAACAAACATGTTGAATTATCCAGGTTATACAGGCCCTGTATTTTACTTGTGTTGCAAAAGAAGTATTTGTGTATCCAGTCGTCATTAAATACACGGCATTCATCATCAAACTTGCGCTTCTTTAAAGAGTTCAGGGTTCCACGAGGTAGGAAATTTACTGACTTAACTGTTACAAGGAGAAAATCAAAAAAGAAATGGAGACGGAAAAGTGGGTAGGTTTACTGACTACGCATGCGTAGCGCTTTGTTAAACACGGATCCAAATCCCGTGCATAAGAAAGTCAAGTCTCGGCCCAAGGCGCGAATTTACTTGGACTAGGTTATGAAATTTTAGATGTGATTTTTTTCCCAAATGTGTCGACGGGCCGCAGAAAACTCAGCACGAGGCCCGCAAGCAGTTTGCCCAGGCCTGCCTTAAAGTAATTAAAAAAAATGTTCTCATGAGTACAACCCACACCTTACGGGGAATTTATGTGTAAAATATGTGCGATTTTTTTTTCGTACTGCTCCGTGGAAAATGTCATGATGCCATTTCTGACCTTAGGTCACTATTTCGGGCCGGAAAGGTTTAACGCGTTCTTCAGAAACCAAAAGCAATAAAATAATAATAATAATAATAATAATAATAATAATAATAATAATAATAAAGAAACTGGTATGAACACCACCCAGACCTGTTTACGGAGATAGGACCTGTTACAATTCTATGGGACTACACAATACACACTGACAGAACAATCAAAGCCAACCGCCCAGATATTGTTATTAAAGACCACAAACACAAATGGTGCCTCCTTATTGATATGACAGTCCCTGCTGACTGCAATGTATCTTTGAAGATATTAAAAAGCTGCAATAATTCTTTGAAGATATTCAAAAAGTTGTCAAAGTACAAGGACCTTGAAATAGAAATCTCGAAAATGTGGCATATGGGAACATCAACAATCCCTGTTGTAGTTGGAGCCCTAGGATTGGTTGGAAAAGATTGCAGTAGACTAATTGAAGGGATTCCTGGAAGTCCATGCCTCAGAGATACAAAAAATTGTTCTGACAAGTACAGCCCACACTTTACGAAAGGGCTTTATCTATGTCATTTTTTTTTTTTTTTTTTTGTCAATGGAAAGTGTCATGATGCCATTTCTGATCTTAGGTCCCTGGGCGGGACCCGGAAAGAAATGTGTAAACGCCAGAAATCAAAGAAAATAATAATAATAATAATAATCATAATAATACGGAGTATTAAGATTAAATTAAAATTTACCTCTACTGATGAATTCTCATTTTTCAATAAAATTTTATTGTGATATCAATGTTCAGTTCGTAAATTGTAAAAAAAAAAATATATATATATATTTGACTATGGGTTTCCCGGTGAGTGACTTTATTAACTATAGGACATTGTTGGGAATGTGGCTTCACAATACTTATTTGTAAAATATGGCACAAACGGGGAGGTTTTCATTAGTTAGTTCTGCTATGTAACCGATCCTGACATGGCATCTCGGCTTCATTCACTTTCCCACCGACGTGACGTGGCTTTTCTAAAAATATTTTTATGGCAATTGTTCTGAAGAGCTATTTTGGGGAACAAATCAGGACTCCATAAGGTAAGTTTGGGGTATTATGGTAACTTTAATAAGAACGGTAAGAAAGAATGGTTTCTTTTGTTTTAAGGAATATTGCAGTATATTTGGATCAGTAACGTTTCGCAAATTTTTTGTAAGGACCTACATTAAGGAAGATATTTAATAATCTGTTATTTTATTTTTTCAAAACTATTCTATGAGTGATGGATAAAATAAATGAAGAAACCATATTAACTTGTTTTATTCCCATAAACTTTTTTCTTTTTTTATCATTTCATTCGATATTTACAAGTCCTGATGTTCGACGTTCATTTAATCCGACAAATATTTAATCAAAACGTTTTGTTTCCACTTACTAGTTGCTTTTCTTCTAGTACCATAGCCAGACCTTATTTTATTTCGACCAGCGAGCGAGGGGTACGCTGGTCAAATTAAAGTAAGTCCTATCACTTTTGAAGTAAGTGCTTCTTATCAATTTGGCCACTACCATTATCCCTGATTAAAATATTAGGTTCTTTTTTACTCAAACACATATACTCACGGTCGTGTATTGCAATAATAAATAAAGTCACTTCCAAAAATTCTATTAAAAAAAGAAAACACTATCTTTTTTCGATGGCCTGTTTACCATCGGCCAACACAATCTCAAATATCACTTTATTAAGAGTGCGTCTCTCTCAGGCGACATTGTTATTTTCCCTCAAGGGAAATAACCAATTCTACAGACAATGTTTTCACGTCGCGATGCCAATTAGTTCATTGCCAAATGCCATTAGATTCAGCCATTGTTGATGAGAGATTATCAATTTTTGGACAGCATCAACATCAGAGTAGAACATGACGCAATTCTATTCAATGATATTTTTTTTACATATTTTATTGTACCTACAAAAGCCTAGAAGATCTTGTAGATAATTTCTGTAGTTCATTTCGTCTTTTTCATGAATAAATTAAGCAAAATTTTTTTTGAAGTTACTTATATATATATATATATATATATATATATATATATATATATATATATATGAATATTTATATATATATATATATATATATATATATATATATATATATATTTATATATATAATATATATTATATAATATATATATATATATATATATAATAAATTATATATATATAATATATATATATATATATATATATATATATATATATATATATCATATTATTAAAAAATTGTGTGTGTGTGTGTGTGTGTGTGTGTGTGTTTGTTCGTTTATATATTGATCGGATTTCTTACATTTTTCAACTGATTTCAAAAAAACTTCACAGGACTACGTAAAATTACCTTGCATCGTTCTGACAGCGCCAAAAATTGGAAAAACACAATTGTTTTTGCACGAAATCAATTTGAAAACACGATTAAGAGGCATCGCAGAATGAAAGGGGGACAACTCATATCGAGTTATACTTATAAAACCCAGGTTGTTTGTGTGTGTGTTCGTTTATA